CGCACCACCTTCGTCATACCGCAAAAACTTTTTTTCCCACGCAGAGCCACCGCACTGCCCCCGACGCTCAGATATGGCAGACCGACCCCGAACACTGGATTTGCTATATCAAACTGACTCGTATTCAGAAAAAACTGCACACCTCGCATAATCCAATTTTCACGAATTTTTTTTTGAAAAAACTGAAACGCATAAAAAAAGCAAAAAACCTTTGATCGGAACCACCGGGTCCCTTCGCCAACCCTTCAATCGGAATAGAGCACAGGGCCCTCACCTTTGCCTACATCCGCGAAAAGATTAATTACCTGACCTTCTTTCTATCTAAGGTACATACCCAGGCCGGGGTAAACATTGAGGAGCAAAGCCCCCCAATTACCCCCAGCCACCCTAGCAAAACGAGGTAGAGAACCGAGAGATAGATAGAGAGAGAGAGAGAGAGAGAGAGAGAGAGAGAGAGAGAGAGAAAGAGAGAGAAAGAGAGAGATAGAGAGAGACAGAGAGACATAGAGAGAGAGAGAGAGTGAGAGAGAGAGAGAGAGCCCTGCACTAGGGACTTTCCCCGTACATAACCCGTCCTAATTTTGCTTGTGCCTCACCGCGAAAATAGGTTTGTATACACTCAGTTTCAGGGTGCTTTATGTTCGGCGGAACACCATAGCTCACTCGGCACTGCGGGAGGAGAGAGAGAGAGAGAGAGAGAGAGAGAGAGAGAGAGAGAGAGAGAGAGAGAGAGAGAGAGACGTATGTGTGTGTGTGCAGTGCGGAGTGGGGCTATGGTCTTCCCCCGAGCATAATGCACCCTGAAAATGAGTGTATACAAGTCATCCTCCGGATCAGGTACAAACAAAATGAGGGTGGGTTATGTTCGGGAGAAAACCTTAGTGCAGGGCGGTGTCGTGCGCGGCGGTCCCACACCTATACGCAGAGTAGTTTTTGGTGTTGGACCTCACGGTCGTGTCACGCATAAATTTCTTTTTGTCACTTTACGCAATACCAACTCCGGCCGTGCCCACGTGCTATACCTCTCGCAACTCCCTACGACAGGTTAGGGTCCCGCGAGGTACAATATACCTCCACCTGCGGGAGCTGTCACCATCCCTTATATGGGTGTATCCCTGCTGAGCTACTGACCCACATACGAAGGTTTTTATATGCAATCACAGAGGTAGGCCAGCCGAGGGCGTTTTCTCGATCGTCGTAGCATAGGCATACGCGCGGTAGAACGTCTTAAGACGGACCCGTATGTCGAGCCCCGAGGTAATAACTCTCCGGACCGACTATCTAATCAGGTCGACTTCTCGGACAGACTTCCACGCTTAACTAATTATGACAATGACTCTGTGTTTACTTTGCTCATCATGTGAGAATGTCGGGGTCGATCCCCTTTGTAGTCTCTTATTCTCTCAAACAGAAGCCTAGACAAATGACTTTCTGATCCTGACCAACTACGATCTCATTCACAAGTATATATATATATAAATGTATGTATGTAAATCAGGGGAGCTGACTGAGCGGTGGACCTCACTTTCACAATTGTCGTGTCCCTTTGCCCAAATATCTCAAACAATCCCAAATTCAGAAGACAACACAAATGTCCAATCACTTGTGCAGATGCAATACATCATATACACACATACAGATGCAGACACAAAATGCGCTACAAGCGTCAACCTTTAATCCATTCATATCAAGTCACTCACGCCCCAAATCCTTGAAAACAACATTCCTTCCTCTTACTCCTTTTACCCCAACCCCACACATTTCGAAGACTCCTTAGTGTGATTTGGACAATTTAGGCATAGATACAGGGGGAAGATTTATCTGTTCCCTTCTCAGGTCTTGTCTTAGGTATGGGTATCAAGCCATGGCTGGAAGTTGAGTCGGAGTTCTACCGACCTGTTATCAAATGATAACAAAATTGTTGTTCTTACGGATCCCCCCGTAAGTTCTCCGAAGTGTCGAAACCTGTAGACACAACACAGTCCAAAAGAAACTTAACATCTCTCTTCCTAACTGAGATCTAGAAAGTTTCCTTCACTCTTATCCTTAACTAATCGTTTGGGTTGTTGCCCTTCCGCTTCAGGTAGTGAATAATAGTTCACTTCCCTTTTTACTGTCGTAGTAAATCTTCGTATTCTCTTCACAATTTCATTCCTATCCTTTTCTGGATTATCCTGTCTGAGTTCCCTTCCTTCTCCCAATACACATGAACACATCATCAATCCAACTTGTGGAAAAAATTTCATGGGAAGAAAATCAGACAAATGAATAGTCTCTCTCTGAGGTAAGATCTCACTTATCCCCTCTCTGTAGAATTAGAGATAGTTAGTTAGGACTGAACAATGCAGATTGTGAAGAAAGTTAGAGGTGGTATGGCAGACCATTCAGGATATATCCACTTTTTACTGGAACTTGTTTAACAAAGACAAATCTTGTGGGTATTGGCCCTTGTGAGTCAAAGCACACTTAGTGGTAGGCTTGTTCTATGGCTAGTCACTGATAATGCATGTATCCCTGAAACCTCACCACTCTTATATCAGATTAGTCACTGATAAGACAGGATTCCCCTGCTACTCTTATCACTGGCTAGCCCTCAATAAGGCGGATGTCCAAGGATCCTTGCTATTCTTATCACTGACTAAGCGCTAGGATGTTTATTAATAAGGCAGGTGTCCTTGAAACCTCGCTACTCTTATATCAGACTAGTCACTGATAAGACATGATTCCCCTGCTACTCTTATCACTGGCTAGTCCTCAATAAGACGGGTGTCCAAGACCTTTGTCCATCCCTTACTCTTATATCTGACTAGTCACTGATAAGACATGATTCCCCTGCTACTCTTATCACTCAGCCACCCTTTTCTCTACCCGCAATCCAAGACCTTTATCCATCCCTTAACCACTGGTCACCCGTCTTATATCAGACTAGTCACTGATAAGTCATGATTCCCCTGCTACTCTTATCACTGGTAGAGAAAAGGGTGGGTGAGGCCA